GAAAGGGCAGGAGGAGGCTGAACCAGGGATCCTGGAGGCTCTGAGCAGGGTCCACAGTCCCACGCTGCCAAGGACAGAAGAGCCTGAAACCAGCTATTATCAGGGACCATTGCCTCAGGCTCAATCCTCTTCCATGGAGATCAACCCAGATTCCAAGGGGGCCCATACCACTGGGGGACAGAAGACAGAGGCTGAGCCCCTCTTGGCCAGGCCCACAGGTCTGTGTCCCTGTTGGGAGAACAAGGAGCCAGATGACAGACACACCTGCCACTCTTCACCCATCAGCCGCTGCTCCCTGCTCCAGGCACCCAGCCCTTGCCCACCGCTGGCCAAGCTCACATGTGGATTTTCATCACTCCCTGTCAGTCCAGGGGATGCCATCAGGGTGATCAGAAGGGGCACCTTCACCACAAGACTGCATGGCTGGATGTCAGCCCCACTGCCCTCATGGCCTGGCACCCACTGTCCAGATGGCCCCCGCTTATCTGGCATCATTTTCACATTCTGGGCCCGGCCTAAAAGCCTTGTCTGGGAAGGGTCAGGCTCAGGGGTGGTTCTTGGTCATCGCCATGGGCTGGAGTCTCAGAAGTCGTGTGGATGGGAGAGCGCTGTCTCACCAGAGTCCCCATGATCCAAGGAGAGTTCAGCCCACAGCACCACCCGGGGGAGTCAGGACCAAGGCCACCGAAACAAGCCTGCTCAGGGCCCACAGCAGTTCTCCCGCACTTGGTTCCAGGAAGGCCCAGCCTGGCCTTTGCCCAAGTCCTCAGGCTGGGGCACAGGTGGCAGTGATGTCCCTGCCCTAGCTGGGAGCTGCCCGGGTGGGAGAGGTGGGGGGAGTAAGACAGAGGAATTGGACCGCTTCTGGCCACATCTGGACAACAGAGCACCTAGGCCAGCATGCTCACCCACAGGACGCCTCCATGTGAACTAGAAAAGGCACCACTCGCCTGGGAGGAGGCAGAGGGGCCTTCAGACGCTTCTATGGCAGGAAACGTGGCTGACTCCCAGCCTTGAAGGCTGCCCACGGCTGCAGGCATCCACCACCCTCTCCTTCCCCTTGCAGACATGGACGAATGTCTGGACCCCAGAATCTGTAAAAGCCACAAGTGTGTCAACACCCATGGCAGCTACACCTGCACATGCCCACCAGGATTTGAGCTGAACCCAGAGGACCCAAAGCTGTGCAAAGGTAGAGGCCCCGGGAGGACGCTGTGAGGATGGACTGGATGGAGCTGGGGAAGGAGCCAACACAGGTCCCGCAGCCCCAGGAGGCAGGAGAAGATTCTCAGGTTCCCTGCCAAGGCCCTGCCTAAGGATTCACCTCCTTGAAAAGTCCTGCAACAGAGCAGGGCAGTGGCAGGGCCTTCTGGGCCTGGGGTTTCCTTGTGGAGCCCCCCCCACAAGACCCTTCCCATTCTTCATCTTTTCTTGGGGTGGTGAAAATGCCTCTTCTGAACCCCTGAAGGCACCCCCTATACTGGCAGGATGTGATAACAATTCCCATGTGAGTTAGGCCAGAGCTGTGACTTCTGGTTCCCAGAAGGAGACCTGGTCTAGCAGTCAGGCGGGAATAGGCAGGAGTCCTTGTTCAGGAAGTTCAAACCTCAGGACTCAGTTTCCCTCCTGGATTTGCCACCTATAAACTGGAGACTATGGTCCCTGTCATGTCCATCTTGTAGGGAGGCCACCATAACGTGATTTGAGGGTGAAGTTGAAGGTCACCAGGTGGTGGCATGTGTACTGATGGTGGGATCCTCAGGCAATGAGAAGTGGGTACGGGGAGGGCCTGACACTTTGGCTTTGTCCTCAGATGTGAATGAATGTACCTCGGGACAAAAACCCTGACACAAAACCAC